GATGAAGCTGGTATGTGTGCAGTACACAGGCCACGGTTAAGACAGCTGACTCCACTGTGATGTGTCTTGCTCTCAATTTCAAATTCAATTTGGCTCTCTCTCTCTCTCTCTCTCTCTCTCTCTCTCTCACGCGCACGCACGCACGCGCACACACAATGCGCAAAACTCTGCATTTGAACAGTCAATAGCAAATACTTAAACTAATAACAAAACAGTAGCTGATTCAGAAGCGCCAGATTGTCATAGCAAAGACAGAATGACCTGCTCTCCTAGGTTCACGAAACGGTCGTCCATAAAATGCATTGCTGTTCTGTTGTAAGTAATCTTAAAGATTCCTAAATGCATCTACTTACGGAAGGCCAAATAAAGTGCTTTTGCTTTCGCCTAGAAACACACAGCGTCTCCCTGACATGCTGCTTCAACACTAACTGCGGTTACTGAAACCACGCCTTCTTTCTTTGCTGCACATTTGGGCACATTATGCAAATATTTCCACATAGTGAGGTAGATATGGGGGGGCGTGTTAGAACGAGCCGTTTTAGGGGGGTGTGGCCGAGTCTTAACGTTGATAAAGAATATCTCTTTGGTTTTGAGACTTTAGTCTTTGCAACTTCAGGGAACTTATCTATGCACAATCAGCTTGTAACACTCCAAAGAGAAAGGACAACTTGAAATCGCATCATATGACCCCTTTAATACAAATGTAAAGTATAATACATTTTCATTTACGTGTCCAAAAACATTACATTCCGTTTGCACATAAGTATGTATTATTTGCATAATAATACATGCATAATGTATCATGCATGTATTATAATGCATTGCATAATAATACATGATGTATTGCATAATAATACATAATAGGATTTTTTTAAGTGTGTTTCTTTTTCCAGTACAACACATTTGTTTTACAGGTACAGTAGCACTAACAGTGACAGTGAACAAGTATCATATAGAATTAAGATAGAATTAAATGAACCGAGTGCAGAATGCGTCCACGTTAATCTCTGCTTATCGTAATAAATCTAACGTTACTGTAAATCAAAGCATCAGCTAAACTTAACATTAGTAATGCAGAAGCCCTGTCTCTGCTGTCAAGAAAACAGTTCTCGCTTACTCGTTAGATCCTGCTAAAGTTAGCTGAAGGCGGAACTCACATCGATATACAAAAACTCGGATAGAAAAAGTAGCGGATTTGTTCAGGATATTCCTCAAAACTCTGCCAGTGATAGGTTTATGCTGTGCAGCTGTAATAACAATCGCGAATTTGCTGCTGTCTAAGCTTCAGCAAGAGGTTTAGAGCTGATTTGGTCTTTTTCTTTGAGTGTTGAGAGCTTGTTACCTGTTTGTTAGCGCTGCTGTGGTGGTCTCCACTCTAGAGACTGATGATAACTCACTCAGCGTGTCAAAACAAACCGCGGCGGTTTGAAAGAGAAGCAGCGTCTCCTTCTGCGCGTCTAACTCCGTCTGCGCGTCTGCTCTCAGCGCCTCCTGCGGCCGGGAGTTTCACAACAGCGGCTCTTAAAGGGGTCATATGATGCGATTTCAAGTTTTCCTTTCTCTTTGGAGTGTTACAAGCTCTTGGTGCATAAAGAAGATCTGTAAAGTTGCAAAGACTAAAGTCTCAAATCCAAAGAGATATTCTTTATAAAAGTTAAGAGTTAACCACACCTACCTAAAACGGCTCGTTCTAACACGCCCCCACATATCTACCTCACTATGTGGGAAGATTTGCATAACGCCGCCCAAATGTTCACGCAAAGAAAGAAGGCGTAACTTTTATTCTCGCTGTAGTTTTGTTGCCGCCAGCATGTCGTGAAGGCGCTGTGTGTTTTGTTGTGAAAGCGAAACTACTTTGTTTGGTCTTCCAAAAGAGGACACGACTAGAAATCAGTGGTTAAGTTGTATTTACAACACTGTTCCAGAACACTTCAACCCAAATATTCAGATGTGTGATGCACATTTTGCGGAGGTTGAGGACTGTTTCCTGTGAGAGTAGCCTACAATGCCGTTGTCTGTTTCTATAAAGTGGGGCAGTTCCAACTTTGCAAGGACAGTCTGGCGCTTCTGTTTATGTTTACACGGTGCGATGCAACGCAACGCGTAAAAAGACAGTATAAGTTATTATAATCCATAATTATGTCCCCACTGGATGCAACAAATGCCTCGTTTATAATGGGTTTTAATGGTTTTGTCTCGTCGCTCCGGCCGGACAGGGCATCACAGTATGTTGAGGGGCGCAACATTTCCGTCACACGCTTGAGGTATTCGGCCAATCATAACGCACTGGATAGCTGGCCAATCAGAGCACACCTCGCTTTTTCAGACCGATGAGCTTTGTAAAAATGGACGCGTTTCAGAAAGACGGGGCATAGAGGAGAAACAATAATGTACAGTATGTGGAAAATAATGTGTTTTTTTAACCTTAAACCGCATAAACACATTTCATTACACCAAATACACCAAATAATGTTCTTTTTAGCATCATCATATGACCCCTTTAAAGATTTGTGTGTTTGTTTTTATTCAAATGCTTGGAACAACAACACAGAAAGGCGTTCATTCATAACAGAGATATACATATCAAGATTGAGATCACACTCAATTTTCATATTAATACATTTAAGATATAAAAGAAAATAAATAGCCTATATTAGGAAAAGAGAAAAAAAGAAGAAGAAAAAAACATACCAAGAAAAAGAAAAAAGTAGGGGAGGAGGCTTTTACATTATAAAACCGAAATCCTCTAATAAGGAATACAAATATCTTGCTTTGGGACTTTTCATCCCTCTTAATGTCTCCAAATATATTACAAATCCCTCATTGAAAACCACTAATCGTGGAGGTATTTTGAAAAATTTACAATTATGAACGTAAAATTTCAGCAAAAGCAACAAACTATGTATTACATCAGATATATATTTTTCCATAATTAACAAACCAAACCTAACAATTTCCCATGAGAGGATCAGTCTTGCACAATGCATCGTTCCAGAATTCACACACCGAGTTACACTGAAAAAACAAGTGTTCAACCGTTTCTATGTCTGATTTGCATATTTGGCATGTATTTGAGTCCCCGATATTAAATCTTGTTCTTAAAAATTATTTTGCAGGGTAGGGTACAACGGGGATAAAGGCGCCTTTGATATTATTTTCATCTAAACCACTAAATGGCACAAAAACGTGGCGTAGCACTTTCCAAAAGCTTTTCAAGATGCACGTGTATATTTGTCTGAACCTTGACGCAAAGATGATTCTGTGCTTACTTAATCTAATATTTGATGGTTTTTTAAATGTTGTAGATTTAAGTAGCAAATGAGAATCGCTCAAATTAATGCATATATTTTGAGACAAAGGTCTTCTTTATGATTTTCAGTTTTGTTTAAGATAATTAAAGCAACAGTTTTTAAATAACGAAAGAATATGTAAAACAAAGTATAGTATTTGGGGTAAAAAGCGCCTCTGCTGTTGGGGCTAAAGGCGCACAGTAATTAACATGATAATTAATAGATGGCTGACTTTTCCATTTCTTGACATGACATGGTTAAATTCAGATGGTAAATATCATATAGGCCTATTATGCCGGGTGTCCATATTAGAGATAATCACCATGTTTAGAATGAAACCATCATATTTAAAAACATGATATTAATCATATCATATAACAAAATATCATTTGTTGTTACTACTGTAAATATATTTTCAATTATTATTATTGGATCTCCTTCAACAGGATACTTTTATCATCTTTACGTATTAAAATGATTTTGTTTCTGTATTTTAAAACATATTTTTTATGTTTTAATGACAGTATATTTATTGAACAAAAATGAATTCTTTTATTTTTCAAAATAAGCAGAAAATAGTACAAACTTTGCTAAAGTGATTGTTTTGGACAAGTATTAACTTAGACATTATTTAAAAAAACAAAAACATTATTTTAGCTGAAGTATTTGTATCAATACCGTGGGCCTTTTACCCTGTGTGGGGGGTAAAAGGCCCCTCTTGCCACCTCATACTTTTATTAGATTTTTAAACAAAATAAACAACTTGAGCAACAATATCTGTTGCTACATTAATGTTCAATACAACGTATATATTTTTATGTATATATAAAATGTATTTATATGTACACTGTTAAAAATTTCCTGTAGAAATTACAGTAACTTACTGGCAACAGTTCTTCAGTAACTTACTGTAAATGAAACTTACAGTAAAAATACTGTATTCATATTTACAGTACCATTTAACTTGCTGTAAAGGTATTTACAGTATGTGTACTGTAAAATATACGGTAATTTTATGGTCTTTTCTCCAGTAACATATTGAAATACAAGAAAAATATATATATATAATTTAACTGAAAATAAGCAATGACAACTGTATAACTTTTAATTTTTTAATTGTTCAATTGTAATCCTTGCAATAACATTTTAATATTTTCACAGATTCAGTTAAGACTCAAAAACATTGTTATAAACTATTATATACATTACATACTATTCTAACTATTATAGTTAGAAAAAATTCTTAAAATTTATCCTAAGCACAACATATTATGATAATAGTGAATAGTGACGATAGTGAATCTTCAAAAAGAACTCAGCAGTGAATAGCACATTTTTTCTTAAGGTGGGCCTTTAGCCCCGTAGTACCCTATATGTGATTCATAATTTTAAAGTGCACTTATTCACATTTAGGATTTGACCTAATTTCAGCCACTATTTTCTTATCATAATTACAAAATATATAAGATATCTTTACAGGTACTGGAAAACAATGCTGTAATAAACAACTCCTCAAAAATCTGTTAGATAATTTTTTTAATCAACAAAGTTAACATTCTCTATAATAAATTCATGTTTTTTGGGAATTATCATTGAATATTTCACTTGTTCCTTAACTAATTTAATTATCTGCAATGGTATACTCTTAATAATTTTATCATACACTTTAGAGGAACAACTTAGCTTGTGTTTACCACAAATAGCATCATAACTCAATATATTCCCTAAGTTGTCCACAACATGTTATGCTTTTCTTCCACCAATCATCAATAAATACAGATTTTCTATATTCACCAAAATACACCTGTTATCCCAGATAGACATGTTATGTGGGCTAAAATTATGTTTAAAAATCAATTTCCAATATAATTTTCCATGATGCAAAGTCCCCAGGGGGCTGTGGTGATGCCCTTTTTTTAAGCTAGTGCATCTGAGAGGTCAAGATTTGTAATTTGTATTTTTAAAAAGAAAATGTTCAACAATTAAAAATAATATTATCAGAACTAAAGCTCATGAGTTATTGTGATTTGTTTTTGTTGTGGGGGGGGGGGGGGGGGGGTAAAAATCATGGTTTACAGTGCAGTACCACAATTGGATTGTTTTTTACAGGTAAAAAATGTTTAAACTAAATGAAAATAAACTCTACAGTACTGATACTGTAAATTAAAATACGGTAATAATACTGTAAATAAAATACAGTAAATACATTATTGTACTGTAAATGCAATTACAGTAATAATACTGTAAACATTTTTACAGTAAATTACTGGCGTCCCGCTGCCAGTAAGTTACTGTAAAATTTACAGCAACCTTTTTACAGTGTACTTGTTGATGAAAAGCAGAGCGTTTTATAGGGAGCTTAGAAAGTTCAAAATCACATTGCAACAAAAAATTAATACCACCACATTTTTTAAATATAGCTGTAGGATCCTCAAACCAAAATGAGGACTCATTATTAATGAAAGCTTGCAACTATTTAAGTTTAAAACCCCATTCATAATAGCAAAGTCAACTGTTTTAAGTCCACCCTCTTCGTAATCTTTAATCATATCACTCTTATGTATAAAATTACATTTCATTTTCCATATGAAATCAAAATTGAACTAATTTATCGCCTTTATCTTTTTAGCAGACACTGCTAAAGAAAAACATGGATAGATGAATCTAGAAAGACTTTCTACTTTCGTTAATAAAATTCTACCAAAGATCGTTAAGTATTTAATTTCATTTTTAACTGGGATATTGTACAATGATATACTAGGATGATCGTGAATGGCCAATAGCTCGCATTTGGACATATTCAGCCATAAACCTAAAGCTTTTGAAAAAAAAAAAACATTATAGACTGGAGTGCTAAGGGAATTTGCTGTTCATTTCTTTAAAAAAAAAAAAGAGTTGTATCATCAGCAAACTGACTGATAATAAAATGATTCCCTTCTAAATCAATGCCAGATATGTTGCCCATTTTGACTAAAATAGACAACATTTCTGCAACCATAAAAAGTAAAGGTGAACAGCCACAACCTTGTCTAATACCTCTTTTGACAAAGAATCTTGAACATGAGTAAGATCTACAAAGCTGTTTATGTCTTTATAAAGCATTTTAACAATATTTAAACATATAAAAGAGTGTTCCATCATGTCAAAGGCCTTACAGAAATCCAAAAATAAGATGAAACCATCTTCTTCAATTAGATGACCATATTCAATCAGATCAAACACTAGCCTAATATTATTTATTATGAATTGATCTGTCCTTTAAAAATCCTGATTGCGTCACACTAATAATTTGTGATATTCCAGTTTTCAATCTAGAAGCCAGAGACTTGGTAAACAATTTGCTTTCTGTATTTAGAAGTGTTATGGGACGTAAGCTATATAATAACCTCTCATCGTTACCTGGTTTTGGTAACAAAATTATAAGGCCTTGTTTCATAGTTGGTACACTCTTAAAAATAAAGGTGCTTCACGATGCCATAGAAGAACCTTTTTGTCTAAATGGTTCCATAAAGAACCTTTAACATCTGAAGAACCTTTCTGTTTCACAAAAGGTTCTTTGTGGCGAAAAAAGGTTCTTCAGATTATAAAAAGGTAAGAAAGAGATGGTTCTTTAAAGAACCTTTGACTGAATGGTTCTTTGTGGAACCAAAAATGGTTCTTCTATGGCATCGCTTGAAGAACCGTTTGAAGCACCTTTATTTTTAAGAGTGTAATAATTCGTAATTTCTTGTACAATCCTGTAAAGCTTCCAACAAAAGATATTTTAGGTCATCCCCCCAAAAAATTATAAAAATCTATGGTTAAACCATCAGGGCCTGCATGGTGATTTACCTGGTTTACTCTGTTTAATAGCTGCATCTAGCTCTTGTAAGGTTATGTCTGATTCACAAACTTATTTAAATACTAGGGCTAGGTTTTGACACAAATTTCAGGATTCGATTCGATTCTCATTCACAAGCTTGCGAATCAATTTGAATATCTATTATTTTGGATATACTGTATATCAGGTACAGTACCCAAATTTGCCAAGGGAAAAAAATCTCTCTACTAATGCTGTAAAATATACATGAGAGTCAGTTGGTACTACATTACTATAATATTGAAGGTTAAAATGAACTGATTTGTTAAAATTTCACTTACTGACGTTTTTAAAATAATAAAGTTACAATTACATAATATTTCGACTTCAATTTGTATTTTGTTTTTTTAAATATAAACATAATGGTGGCTGTCATAAAATCTTGATGGATTTATTCAAACATAAGTTAAACATTGAAGAACAGTAAAATTTATAATGAATATGTTATATGGTGCAAATATTTAGCAAAATTCCCCTCTCTACAGTTTGTTTTTTTACAGTTTATCTGACTAATGAGTTTATGGTCACCGAATATGTTTTTCTGAGGTAAATGTGACGTTATGTGACATTGTTTGTTTACAAGCCGTCATGTTGACGTCTATGTGCGGCTGAAACACTGATTGAGAGATTAACATGAGACAGGATACAGATTGTTAAGTTGTACTCTTTCTTCGGATGTTTAGTCATGTTTATTTTGTGCTGAAGCTGGTATTAATGTGGAGGAGATGATCAGTTCACTGAGGTGCTACAGCGGTCTGTCACTCAACATTAAACAGCGCCAAAATGGCATTTATTGTTTGAATACTGCAATACAATGGACAGAATTTGTTTCATATTAAAAGTACCAAAGCACAATGCTTATTGGGATATATTGGATCGGAAGTGCTCTTAAAGATTCCGTCCATTAACTGAAAAAAACATGCTAGATTAATCGATTCTTGGGATTTAAGAATCGATATCGTTCCGTAAAAATGAGAATCGATTAATATCGAGATATCGATATTTTTTACCTAGCCCTATTAAATACACTATCAGTTGACGGGATATTATTTTTTATCATCTGAAAAAAAGAATTAGAATTAATAGGGGAAAATGATGAAGACTACAATTTAGAGTCAAATTTAAACACCTCATTTGCTATTGTGTTATGATCTGAATGTTCTACTTGATTCACAATTAAACAGTTAATCGAATTTCTTTCTTGTCGTCTTTTTTCCAAATTCCAAATATGAGCTATTTTTTTAAGCTTTGAGGCCACAGTGACACCCTGTGTTGTGCCTAAATGAAATAAAAGAAGTGTAGCCTACATGACATGCCTGTTGATAGTGGGATGAATGACTTGGGTGGGCATTATGTCCAAAATCTTATATCATGGGTTAAGTCATTTAATATCACCCTAACTGTATGCATACTACAGAGCCGCTAAAGGGACATGTTGGTGGGAAAAATACAGGGTGGGAGGTAAAACACGCCCTCCTCATTACCCTCATTAATAGTAATTGTTAATACTGAATTTGGTCCTCCATTGTCACTGTTATACATTAAGCCACATGAAGTGTTTCAGGATGTTCCAAATGGCATTAACTATGGACAAAGACATGTAGAAATAAATAAATGTGGAAAAAAATAAATATAGAAATAAATACGTAAATAAATACATACATTTGGAAATAAATAAATGCATAAATAAAGAAAAGAAAAAATAAATAAATGTGGAAAAAATACAAATGTACATATATAAGGAAATAAAAGTATAAATTATTATTAATTTTTGTGTGTTTTTTTTCTTTTCTTTGTATTTTTCTTTATTTATTTTTGCTTTTTTTTTTTACATTTCTTTGTATATTTATGTATTTATTTATTTCTAATTTGGTCAGGTTTGGCATTCCATATGTGGCCACCTTATGAAAAAAACAAAAACACGATTCTCCTTGCTTTTCTGTTGTTTGACTGTTGTTTTGAGTATGACGTGCTGAATCCGTCCACATTGATCATTTATAGAAACCAAAATGCAAAAATTAGTTATTCAGAAATGATCATGGTTATAACATCAGATTGTGGAAAGTTGAATGCAAATATGTAATATTATGACTGTTTATGACTGTTTGTGATGCAGTAAACCTTGACTAACATTATAACTGAATGTGAGGGATCATGCAATCAGAAATAATGACATTTAATTCAATTATTTATTTATTGCTCTCTCTCTCTCTCTCTCTCTCTCTCTCTCTCTCTCTCTCTCTACTGAAAAATATACACTCTTTTTCTCTATTTTTATCTCTCTCTCTCTCTCTCTCTCTCTCTCTCTCTCTCTCTCTCTCTCTCTCCCTTCAGAGGAAAATCTTTCTTTCTTTCTTAAGGGAACATTTGATTTCTGATCAACAATAAAAAGTTCTCCGTGGTTTAAGTTCTTGATGAGAATGTGCTGATTTAAAAGCATGGAAATAAGATGCCATATTCCTGACTCTCTCTGCGTATTCTGAGTGTCACAGTATTGGATGTTTGGTTGTGTTTTCTCCCTCATGTGCCCATATTTGGTCGCTCCTCTTCCTGTCCTCGTTGTGTCTTTAGGGTATAAGTTAACCTCCTTTCACCTGTGTCTTGTTAATTAGTCATTAGCTCCTTTTCCGTTTGTATAAATTCCCTTCCTTAGTTCTCGGAGTTGTCGGTTATTGCATGTGGTTACCCTTTGTGTGTGGGCATTCCCTTCATCGGTCCCTGTGGATTCACTAAAAATAATTAAGATTATCTTCATTCCAGCACGTAAGCGTGACACTGAGTCCCTTCATTTTTACTTGGAAAGTAGTTGCAAATGTTTTCCTTGCTTGCTTTGAATGCAGCCAGCAAAAAGGACAAAGTTTTGCCTAAATCCAGATCTTTCTGAGCAGAAACCTCTCTTAATTGTGTCCAGCATGGTTTGATCTTTTAGTCTTTTCAAGAGGAGTTATTTTTTTTTTCCATTTGAAATATTCTAATCTCTGAATCGGAAACAATTCTTCCCTCCCTGCTCCTGGAAAACTCATGTTGCATACACTCGTATTACAATATGATATGATGTGATGTGAGTTGGGTCAGTTTACATTTAAATATAATCTATGGTAGAATAGAAATTAGGTTCCATCATAAAATATATAATTGGGTTATGTCTCTCAGTAATGCAAGCTGAACTGATCTTAACGTCAAATCAATGAAAAATATACACGAGTAAAAATAATATTGAAAAAAGATATTAGACTGAAAAAAACAATGCAATAAACTAAATCCAGCATTGAGACCAAACACTGGAAGAATTATACTATAAAATTATTTATTTAACATACAACCATTAATGGCCAGCTTAATTTCTTCATCCAAGTTGTGTTTTCCTCTTGAAAATAGCATATATATATATATATATATATATATTATCTACCAAAACTATTTATTTATATAATAAAATATTTATGGAATATAGTCATAGTCGGAGAAAGTAACTAAAAGGTTGACGTGTTTTTCATAAATGTCAGGTCAGGGCTGACCTGAGTTGTCATATTTGTGTTGGGGCAAGTTGTCACAAATGTTTTAATGTGCTAGTCATGTTAGGACATATATTTATGTTTGTACAGGGATTTTTACAATATAATTTCAAAGCAGATTTACAGAAATGTAAGTTTCAACGTCAACAGCCCTATAATATTTTATATTATATTTTATATTTATAAGAGTTTTGTTATATTTTAATAAATGTAAGCTATTGACAAAAAGCAAGCCAAATGTAATTGTATCCCAGTGACTGTATAGCAGTTTATTAATTTCAATATTTGTTGACAAAAACAGTGGTGTGAAATATGCTAACGTTTACATTTTTATGGATCATACATTGTTTAGTGCTATATAATTTTTACTTGCTGAAAAGTACACCTGTGACTTTGTGAGAATTTGTTTTAATAAATTGATATTTTTAATCAGCAAGGATGCATTAAATTGATCAATGGATCAAATGTGACAGTAAAGACACTTATAATGTTACAAAAACAATATATTTCAAATAAATGCTTTGTTCGTCAAAGATTCCTTAAAATGATTTCTGATGGATTATGTAACACTCAGCTTTGCATTACAGAAATAAATTACTTTTTAAAATATATTCACATAAAATGGTTATTTTAAATTGTAGCCTAATAATATTTAACAATATTACTGTTTTTACTATATTTTTAAACAGCCTTGGTGAGAATAAAGGATGTTAAAAAATCACAGACCCCAAACTTTATATAATATAATATATAATAATAAATTGAATTATATATGTTTAAATAGTTATATGATTTTTATGCACCAGACATAATGAAGTGGTGAAATAGTTATATACCTGGGAAAATACGTGGACGTCCTACTTCCCTATCGGTGCAGGTGCAGGTGTGGGCCGCCCCGCCCCCTGCGCCAGTGACAGCAGCACAGATGCCCTTCACTGACACGAGGATGATCTGCTGCTGATCTGCGCCTGAGACTCCAGCTCTGCCATTCCTCCATCAGCACTGATACAACAGCACTTCTGCTGCCTCTGGACATCCAGACTGAAGTTCTGCTCAATAGCTGGAGATTATGTTCAGTGGACTTTTAAAGGAGGAGCCCATTCATGAACTCTCAGACTGTGGTGTGGAGCAGAGGAGAACAAAATCCATCTGATCCAAGCTGTTCTAGCGTGCTGAAGATCGTGCTCTTTTAAACGGGACGGGACTCTGAGAGAGAGAGAGACCATGGCTGGATGTTGCATGTCTGCGGAGGAGAAGGAACGGCAGAGGATAAATCAGGAGATAGACAAACAACTGAGGAAAGACAAGAGAGACTCGCGTAGAGAACTCAAACTACTGCTGCTGGGTAAGACATGTGCTCATGAACATGTGAAAAAAGATGTTATAAAATGCTTTACTAATAAATAGATAGATATGTTTAATATATATGCTTGATTTGTTTGTTAGGGCTGTGTGTGTGTGTGTATATATATATATATATATATTAGTTATTGTGATCAGCTAAACTTGTTCTTTTAAAAATCTGTAGGCTACTTGGAGGTAATGTAATACTGCTAGATGAAAGGCCACTTAAGTGCACTTAAAGAAACACATTTAACACACTTAAATACACTTAAAAAATGTTGTAGTGATATCAAATGAAAAGTTTTCCTTTAAACTACAAATGTGACCCTGGAGCACAAAAGCAGTCTTAAGTCGCTGGGGTATATTTGTAGCAATAGCCAAAAATACATTGTATGGGTCAAAATGATAGATTTTTCTTTTATGCCAAAAATCATTAGGATATTAAGTAAAGATCATGTTCCATGAAGATATTTTGTAAATTTCCTACCATAAATATATTAACCAAATTTTTGATTGGTAATATGCATTGCTAAGAACTTCATTTGGACAACTTTAAAGGCGACTTTCTCTCTTTTTTTCTTTTTCTTTTTGTTTTTGGCACCCTCAGATTCCAGATTTTCAAATAGCTGTATATCCGCCAAATATTGTCCTATCCTAACAAACCATACATCAATGGACAGCATATTTATTCTGCTTTCAGATTATGTAGAGATCTCAATTTCGAACATGACTGGTTTCGTGGTCCAGGGTCACACAGGGTCTTTTGTCATGCTTTAAAGAAGTACACATATTTTGATGTGCCAACTAACACGCTAAAGCACATGTAATGTACTTGATTATAATTGTAACTGTATATTGAAATGTACTAAATTGTAACTTCAACATTACAAATGTGTAGTTACAAATATATTTAAATACATCACAAGGTTCAATAGAAATCACAATAAAGTATATATCAGTTTACCATAACTGCTTGTTAAACAGTTACACTTTAACGGTATGTCAGCAATAAAAATAATTATGTAATTACATACAAAGATGTACTTATGGCCTACTTAAGTGGGTCAAAAAACAACTAACCGCATTTAATATAAATATAAACTATAATACATTATCATTTCATTGCAAATAGCATACACTTGAGTATCTGAAATCATTACATTCAGTTCACACTTAAGTATATTATTTTAAAGTGTCATTTCCTTAAGTAATTATGCTAATGTCTACTTTATTTTACAAGGGAACGGATATAATACATCCACTGAAATGACTGTGAAAAAATGGCTGAAGTTAGAAAAGCTCTTGTCGTATTTGTTGATGAATGGCACATGGTTTGATGTTTTGGGGGGTCTCTACGTGTATGGATTTTTTTTAGAGAGAAATGAATGTGTGGTTTAGCTGCTGTGGCACCGTTTTTTGCAGCAGTTCCTGGCCGCACGGACACTGTCTCTGTTCTTACTATGCAAAAGCATGCAAAGCAGAACCTGCAGTGAACTCTAAACAAACTTTCCTCAACAGCACTCCCTCCCTCAACAACACGCTAACAGCACACGCAGGAGAAAAGGCTTTGTCATATGCGTGTGTGCATGTGTGGTTTGAGTGTCTTTTACTTCTAACAGGCTAGTGGTTCATACACGCATGTGTGCAGAGTGTGTGAACTGAATCAGACTCCCAGTAGATTCATTATTACACGGACCACATTAATTAAGAGCTCGGCCCCCGAGACAGGCCGAACGGAAAGGTCAAAATAAGCATCACGTTTATAATACACCTTTTAACTGTAACTGGTGAGCAATGCCTTGGTTTTCTTTATAAATGTCAAACATGAGAATGTTGTATAACGAGATGTTTTACAGTATGTAAAACCAAATTTGCATTGTGCTTTCGTGTGTGTAATTGGGATATCTTTGTGCTCAAAAAGGGACATCATTTCAGGTGTGACCAGTGCAAAACAATTACAGCCTTTATCAACATTATATCAAAAAGGTTTTTGTTCTTAGTAATATAAAACACATTCTGTTCATCTGTTTGTGACAAAATACACACTACCTTCTAAAAACGTTTAGTAGCTTACATTTCTAGTCAAAGGTTTGGAATAATTATGATTTTTTATTATTATTTTTTTTTTTGTAAGTCACTTATGCTTACCAAGTCTGAGTTAATTTATGTGATCAAAAATATGTAATTATTACTTAATACTCAATTATTATTAATAATGGCTTCTTACTATTATTATCGATGTTATAATATATAACAATAAGAAATGTTTCTTGAGCAGCAAATCAGCATATTAGAATGATTTCTGAATGATCAAGACTGGAGTAATGATGCTGAAAAGTCAGCTTTGCATCACAGAATTAAATTAAATTTTACGGTATTTTACAATAGAAAACAGTTTTTTAAAATTGTAATAATATTTCACAATATCACTGTTTTTACTGTATTTTTGACCAAAGAAATGCAGCCTTGCTGAGCATAAGAGACTTCTTTCAAAAACAAAATAATCGAATCATTCTAAATGTTTGACCATTAGTATATTTATTCTATAATTAAATATGTCTCCATAATTTTTTTTTTTTTATAAATAATTCATTATATTTCAACATGTGAAAGTGACTACAAGTCACTGTGGCTTTTGTTTGCTTATTATAAAAAAAAAATCATAATTTTATCATAATCTGTGATCACCTACATTGTAAACCTCCTAGCTGAATAAACGTCATGGTGAAATGCATTTCTGTGTCTTTCAATTGAACTTTATTATAAAGCTTATACGTAAATCTCTTGGTTTCGGCTTGAACTCATTCAAATCTGGTCATTTTCATTTGTGTAAAAAATCGCAATGTCGCTAGGACATTCTCAAGATGCTAATTCATGCAAAGTGGAGAATGATTGAATGGAAAATGGCCCATAGAAGAAATTTTCATTTCAAATTTGAAATCCCATAAGCTGGACCCACACCTTCTAAGGGCGCGTTAACTCAGAAAATCTAGTGTCCATAAATATGTTTTACCAGCCAAAATTGTATTACATAACAAAATATGTTTTAAATGTGATTGACTGCAAAAATATAAATTAATTAAGGCTTTATTGCTTAATGCCTTAATTAACAAAGTGTCTGAGCTTTTCTTCAGTTGCAGTTTGCGATTCAGATTTACATTTTAATTCATTGGAATTTAAATATAAATGTAATGGCTGAAAACATTTCCTCTATACTGCAGCAGTCGGCAAGGACAATTTTACTGGCATTTGGCACTTAACGAGTGTTCATTTTGAAACCCTGGCCCTAGCTTTTCTGTTAAACGGCTGATAAAAAAATTCAAGCTGTATTTTTGCTCTAAAAAATGGAATCAACTCTGAAGAAAAACGTGTTCTGAAGCTGACGACACTGAAGGAAATATGAACTAAGAATGAGCCCTATAACATTTTATGTAATGCGTCTAAGCACTGTCTGACTGATGTACTCACGACACTACAGCAGTACACACTAACAAACAGTGTGTGTTACACATGAGCCATCCAGAAAGTGAACTTCTCTCAGACAGCTGTAAAAGTGTCAAACAAAAGAGGCCAGCGTGTCTGTCGTTCACTTCCAGCTGAAAACACGCCTTATTAATGTACATCATGCCTCATTGTCTGACTGCAGAGAGCATTATTGTGAAATCTTAGTATGTTCAAGAAACATGTGGCTGTAAGGCATTCTCTCGAGAGTTAAGTCAGTAAATCAACCTCAGAAGTCTCAATTTACCCTAAATCGGACTTGAAATATACATACAAAGACTGCGTTCAGTCGAATCATAATGCCCCTGCTCTGAAAAAAATGAAATAGGATTTTAAGTGAGTGTCTAGTGAAGTTGTGCATTTGCTTTAACACGTGAAGTAGGCTGAATAATGGTTTTAGTGTGGAGACTCTCACTCCACTCAGGGACTGTTTTTATTGGCCAAGGGTAAGACAGATATTCTGCCACACGGCACTTTAAACAAAACTCACTGAAACGCATATCCCTCCTCAACCTCTTTCTCCTCTCGGCTCTATCTTTCACCCCTCTGTCTTCTCTGATTTTTGAGTCTCTCTGCTGGATGAAACGACTGCAGTTATTGGTATTATTTTTCTCAAGTATACATTTCATGTATACAACTCAGTTATACAGGACTGCTCAAAGCTGGCATGAATGCATTTACACTGCAGTGTGTGTGTATTAGGGCTGTTAAGCAATTCACAGTTGTAATCTAATTAATTAATTTCATGATTTGAAGATTAGTTAATCTAATTAATCACAAACGAATCACCCAAAAGATCATTTAAAGTCTTCATCGGGTTAAATGAGATAAGCATTGAGTAGACATTACAAAAAAAATTGCTTTATAAAAAATATTTTGACTCAACTTAGAATTTATTACTCATAATCTTAATTATGGCTACACTGTGGGCATAACATAGTTTTCAGAAGTTGCACCTGAAGTGGCATTTGGGTATAATTGCAAAGACTGTTCAAAGTTGGCATGAATGCATTTACACTATTGCATTTAGATGCATTTACACTGCAATTAGAATTGCATAAATAATGCTATGAGATTAATGGGTTTTAAAAGGGCATTAATAGGTTTTTAAAAAAGAAATTGAAAGATTGAAATGATTGTTTTTTTTATTGAAGCCCCCCCCCCCCACATCTCTATATAGGCATATATGTAGATACATAAACAAATTACAAATAACTTTTTGTAGCCTAGCTTTATGCAATTAATTTAAATCTAGAGTTTGTAATTTTACCAAACAGAATTGCAGAACACACTCACATCTTCCATTGGTCAGAAAATCAAATAGCCACGCCCCAAACTCATGCCATTGGTTGAGCCAGTGTTGCTGTGTCTGGCTGATTTGGATGATCAAGCAAACAGCAATGTTTTGTTAGTGCCTCATAGTCACAGTAATTATGCTTTTCAGGGAATCAACCTAAAACAATAGGGAATCTGAAAAATTACATGCATAATACCAGAATGAGTAAATACAGTAGTTCAGAATGGTTTTAGATGTGTGTAGCATGTCATGCAGCAGGCATGCACATATATTCCCCTCTCCTCGGTATATTCACTGTGACATTCGAGCATTTGAAATGATCCTCAGCCATGTACATCTTACAGCTGTCCTGAGTAAAGACACAGCAGCTGGAGAATATAAACACAACTCTGGCAAGCCGCTCGTTCAGTCTGTCGAACATAATCGTTTCAGTCTTGTCTTGCTGCAGTAGCCAAACACTAACCAGATTTACTTTTTGTTCATCTCTGGGGAAAATATTACAAATGAGAAGCGGCCAGATTCACCCAACCGTTTGAGTTACTTAATCAAAGCCACAAAACCAGAGAACAAGCCATTACAGTTTCTCATGCATTTCAAAAAATGTTTTGATGCATAAAGGTAGTTTATTTTGGAGTTGGTATGGTATTATCGGTACTGATACCAGTTATCGATTGATGGTAATGATTTCAAAGTGGACAGTTGTTTTATATACGGTTCAAAAGTTAGTAGTAAGATTTTGTGATGTTTTTGAAATAAGTCTCTTCTGCTTACCAATGCGCCAATTATTTGATCAAAAATGCTGTAAAATGGTAATATTATGAAATGTTATTACAATTTAAAATAACCGTTTTCTATTTTAATAAAGTTTAAAATGTAATTTCTTCCTGTGAATTTTCAGCATCATTACTCCAGTCTTCAGAGTCCTTCAGATATCATTGTAATAGGCTGATTTGCTGCTCAAGAATCATTTCTTATTATTATCAATGTTGAATACAGTTTTTCACATTTTTTCACATTCATACAGTTAACATTTTTTCACAATTCTTTGATGAACACAAAAGTTCAAAAGAACAGCATTTATTCAAAATAGACATTTTTAACATTATAAATGTCTTTACTGTGACTTTTTGAGCAATTTAATGTGTCCTTTCTGAATAAAAGTATTAATTTCCTTGAAAAAAAATGATTTGAACTGAAAGACAGAACTTGCAGTGGTATATTGATATACTAATGTACATGGCATATTCATAACCCATGGTAATTTGTCCAAAAAACATGATAATACAACAGTACTTTTTAGTTAGTGCAGAAGCTGAAGGATTTATTTGTCTTTTCTCTCTTGTAGGCACAGGTGAGAGTGGCAAGAGTACGTTCATTAAACAGATGAGGATCATTCATGGCTCGGGTTATACTGATGAAGATAAGAAAGGCTTCATTAAGCTCGTCCACCAGAATGTGATCAGCGCCATGCAGTCCATGGTCAGAGCTATGGACATGCTCAAGATCGCCTATGCTAACTCAGACAACCAGGTAACACACACACACACACATGCAAGTTTGGAAACCGTAGATACACATATGCTCAATTTCAGCTTTCTTTACCACACCTTAGCAGTTTGTGCCATGCATTTTCAGCATGAACAGTTCTGAGGTTACAAAAGTACAAATGTACCTATTATAGCGCCAGCTATTGTTGAAAGGATGGGCGTGTGTGTGCCTAAATAGTGGGTTGAATTTGACACCATCCTACCACGTCTTTTTGGTTTTCAGAGAACTAAATCAGAAAAATAATGTTCCCATTCTTTGCTGCCAGGAATCCTAAAAATCTGCCAGTGAAACAATATGCTTTTGTTTTCAAGATAATATACAACATTCACTATCTGAACTCAAGTCTTATTGTCGAATTCAATTTTGCATCTTGTTTAAAAGATGCTTAGATGCCTTTACTGGAATTCATTTTGGTCTTTCCATATTTGATGATAAATTGGTTAATAAATGTAGTTTTGTTAAACGTCATAACGGTGTTTTTTTATGTTCACCTGTTTATTTCCTTCCAGAAGGTTTTACGTTCTGTTTATACGCTCTGCTCCACTTTCATTAATTGGCTGTTTTCTGCACTCTGGCTCTTGACCGCACACTCTCATTGGTCCCCTGGGGAGATGCTGGTCAATCCTGATTGGCTGTGCTTGTCTCGGCAGGCTAATGGTACACTGGTGAATGATATTGAGGTGGATAAGATCATGAGTTTGGACGAGGCCCAAGTCAACGCCATCCGGAGTCTATGGAACGACACTGGGATTCAGGAATGCTACGACCGCCGCAGAGAGTACCAGCTAACCGACTCTGCCAAATAGTCAGTCTTGTCATTTTCAAACACTTAAAAAGCTATAATCACTGCATTTTTGACATGTGATTTTGGTTTGGTCATATATGTTGCTGGGAACTCTGCAGACCCTTGTTGAAAAAAACGTAGCATACTTTTTAAAAGAGTACTTATTATGGAAATAATATACTTTAAAATAATATACTTAAGTGTGAATATAATGTTTTCAGATTTTTCAGTTTTGCAAATGGAATTATAGTTTAAATTTATATTAAAAGCGGTTAGTCGAACTTAAGAGTGTTTTGACCCACTTAAGCAGGACATACACTGAACAAAATTATAAACGCAACACTTTTGTTTACTGTATTGGGGGGTCCGGGGGCTGGTCCGAAAACCAGTCAGTATCTGGGGTGACCACCATTTGCCTCACGCAGTGCAACACATCTCCTTCACATAGAGTTGATCAGGTTGTTGACTGTGGCCTGTGGAATGTTGGTCCACTCCTCTTCAATGGCTGTGCGAAGTTGCTGGATATTGGCAGGAACTGGAACGCGCTGTCGTATACGCCGATCCAGAGCATCCCAAACATGCTCAATATGTCCGGTGAGTATGCTGGCCATGCAAGAACTGGCCATGTTTTCAGCTTCCAGGAATTGTGTACAGATCCTTGCAACATGGGGCCGTGCATTATCATGCTGCAACATGAGGTGATGGTCGTGGATGAATGGCACAACAATGGGCCACAGGATCTCGTCACGGTATCTCTGTGCATTCAAAATCAGGTGAGTCCACACCTGGGTTTCGTCATGCATCAGCACGCACAGGCAAATATGCATTGAGCTGAAAGAGTTTTCAGGAGTGACCTTTTTTTTTTTTTTTAATGCATGGGCCAAATTCTTAGAAATGTACTCTTTGTACTTGGTTTCATGATTTTGAGCAAGTTTTAAATAATTTTTAGTATTTAAGTAATGTGGTAAAAAACATTAGGTAAAAAGTAAAATAACTTAGTTCCTTACACATCGTAATCATTATTTTTTGTAAAGTTTGTAAAAAATATATTTAAAGGAAAAATATTTAACGTATGAATTATTAATTCATAAATATTGTTAAGTTTTTGGGTAGTCACAATAAACTATTTCACACCTTGCCTTGTCCTACAAAGGTCAAATTATTTGATATTTGAACAGACTTATTGACCGTTAGTCAAACTACATGATTTTAATTTGGCGGAAAAGTATTTGAAATATTTTCAAATATTTGTTTCACTGCTTAGGATTTAATAATAAAATATTATGCTAAATTACTTTAATAAGGTTTTCTTTTCAAGAAATTCAGTTTTTAAGATGCTTTTTTTTATTATGAAAAAAAACGAAGTTAATTTAAATTCAGAAATTAAAAACTTTCTCAGCATAAAAGATGTGTATTACAGTCACTGTATGTATAAATAGCATTTCTTTATTGTATTAATGGTTTCATATTATTTAAAGATACTTTCATGTTTTGTTTTTAAATAAATTACACACATCTCAAACAGTATGTAAGAGCAATATTTCAGATTTTCATTATTTAAATGTATTATTATATTTACCTGTGTTAAGCAGACATTTAATGTCGAATATACTGTATGTCTTTTGTTCCTATTTTGCTCCAAAAATAATCGTAATCGAAACTGCATTTATCGAAAGGCAATAAAAAAGTTATTTTAACACAAGTGGATTATACTGTAAGAAGATTGAAAGAAATATCAAACCTTTTGATTTCAATGAATTGTCACTATTAACTATCTATTAACTAGGACTACATCCTCAAATAAACTCCTAATTTGCTGCTTATTAATAGTAAGGTAGTTGTTAAGTTTAGTTATGGAGTAATTAAGGGATATTTTAGATTAAGGCATCTCACATGTGACGACTCCGGGCTGGACTCTGCTTCGTCCACGGTGAAAGCCGATTCCGGCTATCCACAGCGTAAAGTTGTTGTATTTCCTCAGCGACCAGCACGGATCAGCTCTAGGCATGACGAAGCGGATATCGTCCTCTTTTGGAAGACCAAACAAAGTAGTTTTGCTTTCACAACGAAGCACACAGCGTCTTCACGACATGGTGGCGGCAGCAACAATACTACAGCGAGAATAAAAGTTACGCCTTCTTTCTTTGCGTGAACATTTGGGCGGTGTTATGCAAATCTTCCCACATAGTGATGTAGACATGTGGGGGCGTGTTAGAAGGAGCCGTTTAAGGCGTGGCTGACTCTTAACTTTTATAAAGAATATCTCTTTGGATTTGAGACTTTAGTCTTTGCAACTTTACAGATCTTCTTTATGCACCAAGAGCTTGTAACACTCCAAAGAGAAAGGAAAATTTGAAATCGCATCATATGACCCCTTTAATATGTGCTTTACTAATAAACAGCCAATATGTTAGTAATAATATGCTTGCTAGTTAATAGAGATAATTGGTCCTTAAAATAAAATGTTACCTAAAGAATAAACAAGGGACTTCATGGACTCCTGAGGTGTGAGTACTTCACTAAAATGAATAAGGCTTACACTTAAGGCTTACAGTGTCATTATACACTCAAGTTCTGAGTAATAATAATTAATTATGTGAACTTACTATATGGTTAGAATTAGGATTAGGGTTAGTTGCATGTAATTATGCATATATTTCATTGTTATTACTATAGTAAGTGCATATAACATGTCTAACAAGGACACAGTAAAAAAAAAAAAAGATATGCGTCAAAACTTGTGGACATTTTTAGAACCTATTCAAAATTCTATGACCTCCGGGGTCGGCCGACAAATTAAAGTCCTAAGTGAACGACTCTGTATCTGTCGTGTTTATCTGATGCCATCAGGATGGTGGACGTCGGCGGTCAGCGATCCGAGCGCAGGAAGTGGATCCACTGCTTTGAGAACGTCACCTCCATCATCTTCCTGGTGGCTCTGAGCGAGTACGACCAGGTCCTGGCTGAATGTGACAATGAGGTCAGTGCACTTTGAGCTCATCCTCGTGCAGGCTGTTCCTCTGGGACTTCATGCTCATGTCTGTTGAGTCTCATGTGTTTCAGAATCGGATGGAGGAGAGTAAAGCTTTGTTTAAAACCATCATCACATATCCTTGGTTCCAGCAGTCGTCTGTGATTCTCTTTCTTAATAAGACAGACATCCTGAAGGAGAAGATCGTGCACTCTCACCTGGCCACCTACTTCCCAGAATTCACAGGTGAGGCGTTCGTAGCAGTTCACTTGGGACACAAGGTGCTTCTTCAAGCGATTGCTCGCATGGCAGGAATGAATCATTTTCAATCAGTCATTCTGGTGAAGATGAGACATATAAGAGTGTCCATAATAAAGAAAAGGAAAAATCCATTTGAAAACATATACATTCTTTAAAATGTGGTTTTCAACATTTTTAATACCATTTTAAAGTGGAGTAACCATCAAGTAAAAAATTAGCAACATATTTTTCTTACACTTTGATTGCATGTGTGTGTACACCGTTTTACAAAAACGTTTTTAAATATATATGTATATAAGTGTTGGGGGTAACGCATTACAAGTTACGTAATCAGATTACTTTTTTCAAGTAACTAGTAAAGTAACGCACTACTTTTTAATTTGCAAGAAAATATCTGAGTTACTTTTTCAAATAAGTAACGGCAGTTTTTTTTTTCTTCAATTTATTGATTGTAAGCTCTCATGTGCCCACGTTGAGAGAAATCAGAAGATGTTACTGTAGATCTAGAATAAATGTGAACATGCATTAATTCATCTCACTCACACAAAAAAAACAGATTTAGTTTTCCTCAATTAATAATGACGGTTAAAAGCAACTCGGAATATGACGCAAAGCTGCAATAATTAAATATGTTAAATAATACAAATATCCTTTTTGTATTTAATCCCATTTTATTAACCAATTTGCTGCTGACCTTCGATGATCAAATTCAACTACACTAATAAGCAAAAATTGCACAAGATAAACTAACATTTCTTCTTCTTTTTTTTATTGCTGAAGAGTTGAACTTTCTTCTTCTTCTGCGTTCTGCTGTACAGACGTGATTTGCATTTCCTTCAGCCTGAGGCTTTTGGTGTGAAAGGGCTTTTATATTTACCAAAAATAGAACTTTTTATATTAAAAG